TTGTCGAATCATCGAAAGAAAAAGGACGCACGGTCCGCTATTTTCACTTGTACATAGACGGCTTGTTATCGTACGCGTGTACTATTCGATTCGATGAAAGAGTGAGAAACTTTTCCTCGATCGACCAAATATCATTCGATAGTTTGAACATTGCGTTACGCGTTATCATCTGTTATGCAGATGAGCGCTGCTGTGTTCGGAAAAATGTATTTGATTTTTTCAGCAGCGGTGACGGGGGCGGCAGCAATAATACATGCACTAGTCGGGAAGCACCGCTTGGCGGCATCGTGAAAGACATCGAGCAAGTGGAACGAGAGGGGCCTCTTCATGTGAAATTTACCGTACTTGATGGCAAGGTAAACACGCATAAGTTGTCACGTGCGATATGCGTGCTTTTGCTTATGGATCGTTCGTGGAAGCAGGTATGGGGCGTTCTTCGTGGACCGATTCTTTTCTTTTACAAGGATCGTCAAAATCAGGTATCGAACTTGTATATAGATGATATGTACGATGGTACGATTACAAAATTAAACCCGGTCTTCATGATCCGTTCGATCGCTTTCAGTGTCCTTCGTTGGCCAACGACGGTGAGAATGTATCTCAAAGCGTAGATGTAAGATGTTCCCTTGTAGATATCGCGGAGGATTATACGAAACGCAAACACGTATTACGATTGGCGAATCCAAACGCAGAGGTATTGCTGCAGACCGAAGACGCGGCGTCTATGGCTCTCTGGTTACGATCTCTACACCAGCACGCTGCCGCTGAAAAACCGTCGGTGAGTAGTAGGAGTAATTGTACGTTACGCGTTATGCATACGCTACATTAATTAACAAACTATGAATTACTATAGTAGCGATGGAACATTTCCATGTTTCAGGAAATCGCGCACAATAGCACTTTGAAGCAACAAGCTGTCCCACAAACTCCAGGTCCTACCAGTAGTTCCTCGACGTATCAAACGATCGTCGGCGGGAACACCAGTACGATGGCGATATCGAGCGCTGGTGGTGGTAGTGGTAGTCAACGATTGAGTCCCCTGCCAGGACACAAGGGTATTAAGAAATTAACGTCGTTCAGGAATAGATCACCGACCGGGCAATCACCAATAAACAAGACGCGGAAACCCAGCCAAACGATCGAAAGTTTGGTTTCTCCAAAGACGAAGACGTGGAAAGGTAGAGTGGCGAAACAATTGCGAAGAATGCATGGTCAAACTGGATCTCCATCTTCGCCAACCACGCAACTACCACCAGAAGGTGCTACTTTCAAAGTGCCACTAGAGCTCTGTCCACCGTCGTCATTCTCCGAATACGTACCGTTAATAGTGGAAATGTGCACAAGTATCGTCGAGGCGAGAGGTCTCGAAGTTGTCGGTATCTACAGAGTACCCGGTAATACTGCTGCCATTTCGCATCTAACGGATAGTGTGAACAAAGGTTTCGAGAATATCAATCTTCAGGATCCTCGGTGGAGCGACGTGAATGTGATATCTTCCCTCCTTAAGTCTTTTTTCCGGCAGCTTCCCGACTCGTTGTTGACCGCGGAATTATATCCAATGTTCATCGATGCCGATAAAGTCGAAGATCCTCAACGAAGAATGACTACGATTAGGAAACTGCTGAGAGATCTGCCGGAACATCACTTCGAAACACTAAAATATTTGATGTTTCACCTGAAAAGGATAGTGGAACACTGTGAGGTGAATAAAATGGAAGCTAAGAATTTAGCGATCGTGTTCGGGCCAACGTTGGTGCGAGCCAGTGGTTCCAGGGACAATATGGTCACTATGGTCACTGACATGTCGCACCAGTGCCGGATTGTTGAAAGCTTGTTGAATAACGTTGACTGGTTCTTTTCGGACGATGATTTGGACGATTTGAGCAGACTGAGCGTTAATCTCAGCTTACCGGCGGCGGACACTAGCGAGATAGAGACGACAACTTCCGCTAATAATCATAATCTCTTGTTGAACAATATTCAAAAGGTCGAGGGTAGTGGTGGTGGTGGTGTACGCGAAATGGCATCTGCGAAGGACATAGTGTCTTCCATCATATCCGCTGCGAATCGAAAGATACAAAGAAGAAGAAAGGGTCAAGACGAAACAGACAACAACGAAAGTCACGAGATCGATAAGTCGAGGACGAAACAGGAAGGAGATGAAAGCCTGCTGTCAAATCGACGAAGCATGGCATTGAACGAGAGGCAATGTTCCGTGAGCGAAATCGTGTTGATGCACGAGAATAAGTCGAATCGTTCTAATTCCGATGATCGATCTCCGACAACGATCGATGGGGGAGTTACGATTACGACGATCGCTGCCACCGCTAGTATTGGTGACAACGATGGGCTAATAACTGATCCTGTAGTTAACAGTCGCGATGATGTTCTGCTGTTCGACAAGTCGAATAAGTATTTGAGTCCTACGGTCGAATCGATTCAACCGACGACGACTAGTCATCGCTCGGCCGTCTCGTCTGCCTCCGAGTCGTCGTCGCGACTCTCTAGCGAGACTGGCCTGAGCTGCTTCGACGCGAGTTCGACGCTTTCGAGCGCCTCGAATGACACAAAGCAAAGCAACGACGAGATCGCGATAAGAACGTACGCTGGATTAAGCGCGACTACCCAAGAACGTATACGAAGATTCGAACAGGAAACGAAAGCGATGTTACAGAGGGATCAAAATCGACAGAGGCGGGAAGCGGAAAGAAGAGAGGAAGAACGACGAAGGATCGAGATGGAATGGCAATTGGCGAAACGCGAAATGGAAAACGATGATCTGCTCGACAGTATCGTGGATACCGCTGTGACGACAGCGATGCCCACTACGTACCTTTCATCCACGGCTCGTTTTTCCACTTTCAATGAGCAATCTTTCCTGGACGTTGGCTCCCGATCGACTACTCGAATTCCACCGCTCTCGATAGCTGTTCAGCAACAACCTACGTCCGTTAGACGAGTCTCGCAAGTTGCCGACGAATCGAACTGCGACGTTATGATTTTGCCCCCGGAGAACGTTTCAAGTACCATTCTAAAGAAGTTAAAGACCGACACAGAGGTAAGAGACATTCGATTGTGTAAAGCATGGGAATAGAAAGTGTACATGCTTTGCTTTTTCGACATTTCTAGCAGCAGGTATTGGAATCATCGATCTCGTCGACGTTACCACCGCCAGTTCGTTACGGCAGCTTGGATTCTCTACACGAAACGCTCAGCGTCTCTCTGTCGCCACTTTCACCGACCAGTCAACAACGAAAACCCCTTTCAAGCGATGTCTCGGACGATGGTCAGTACCACCGATACACTGGTTTTTTCCCTTAATCTCTTAAGCATCGATACAACACGTGTCATCCTAGTAAGTCGTTCATTACCGTGAATTTCCTTCGTTCGTTCATTTATTGAATGTGAGATTCGCGTCGCGTGTATTCTTCCTCTGCTTCTCTCTCTCCTCTCTCTTCCCCCTCTCTCCTCTTCTCTTCCCCTCTTCCTCTCTCCTCTCTTCTCTCTCCTTTCTTCTCTTCCCTCTCTCCTCTCTCTTCTCTCTCCTCCCTCTCATCTCTCTTCTCTTCCCTCTCTCTCCTCTTTCTCGTCTCTCTTCTCTTCCCTCTCTCTCCTCTCTCCTCTCTCTCTTCTCTCTCCTCTCTCTTCCCTCTCTCTTCTCTCTTCTCTTCCCTCCCTCTTCTCTCTTCTCTTCCCTCTCTCTTCTCTTCCTCCTCTCTTCTCTTTTCTTCCTCTCTTCTCTCTCTCTTCTCTCTCTTTATCTCTCTCTCTCTTAATTTCTCTCTTTCTTTCTCTCTCTTTTTTTGATTTGCTCGTTTATTTTGCAGCATCACAATCACGAAAATATGCGGTGGTGAAACATTAGAACGTGAAACGATTATATTTTTTTGTCGTGCATGCCTCCTATGACTTGTTATCGTTCCGACAAATATCGGATTTGATGGATTTAATGGTACATCGTTGACGAAAGTTTTAATTTTTAGATGGAAGGAAGTGTTTGTCTTTTTTATTTCTTGTAGTAGTTTGTCAAGTGTAACTCGATCTTCTTGATTGTACGTGCATTCACCTATTTTCGTTGGAAGCTTTTTTCTTTGCGTCTGCATGCGTGTACTATAAACGATAATGTTGTAAGCATTTGGAAACAGACTATTCGTCGAATATATGTGTATATCCAGGGTGTTTCGGTACGGGTATTACAAATGGGCATGAGTGGATTCCTTATGAAAAAATAAATAGAAACTATAGAATAAAGATTTTTTGCTTGCGGTTTCGTTTTCCAGATAATTATGTTTGAATATTCTTTGCAAAAGTACTTGCCACCTTTCAACTTAACAAATCGCACTATATGTTAGTATTTGGACAATATTATGAAGGATACTGATTAATACTACATTTTTGCGAAATTAAGACTTACATTAATGAAGAAATTGCTGAAATTGTCGTCCATTTTGCCACAAATAAATTGTTGCTTGTTAAATCACAGAAGCATGAAGTGATGCTAATGAATTTTGAGTCCGTACTTGGTTAAATGCCTGTATAATTCTCTCTTGTTTGTATGCTCTCCAGCATACACAAGTTCTTTAATGCGACCCCATAAAAAAAAAATCCAATAGAGCAAAGTCCTACGATTTTTACATACACAAAAAATTTGTAAACTTAATTTTCTTGAAAACGAAGCCCCAAACAAAAAATCGTTGTTCTATATTTTCGATTTATTTTTTCATAAGGAATCCACACATGTCTAGTTGTATTACATGTACCGGAACAGTCTGTATATACAGGGTGTCCAATTTTAATTTGTAAATGCGAATTACTCGTAAACTACCCGCTGTATGGAAAATGGTTCAGAGAGGAATTGAATGGTTTCGAGAGGGACATTTTGGTGTATTTAGTTTTTCTGTAGATGGGCGCATAGAGGTCATATGAAGGTGACATACGTTTTCTGGAATGGAATCATATAATTTGTAATGCATTAATACGTTAAACGTCACGCCGGTCTCTAGGGACCGGCTGTAGACTTTTGGTTCATGCTACACCGCTGCGCGCGTCAGTCCTTGCATACTGATAGTGAGACTAAACATTTCGTTTAAGCGACATCGGTTTTTGTTCAGTAAAAGTTTTCAGAACAGGAATATAACATTTTAACAAAAATTTATGTAGTTTTTAAGGATTCGTTAGTCGTCTTCTGTGTATAGTTTGCCCATCGCGCATGGCTCACTTGACGGCCGAGTGTGGCAAGAACGGAACGGCAAGCAAAACAGGCTGGGCGTTTAACGTGTTAATGGATGCAGCTGTTTACTTCCTATAAAAAAGTATTAAGGAATTTATGTCGAAAAACCATTACTTTAGAAGATATTTTACTTTCAATATTGCAAAGTGGTAGTAGTACATCTGTTTGCATCTACATTTTCTGAATTGACAGTGGGCATTTTTTTTTTTACAAAATGATAGGAGGATAATGAGACGATGTCAATCATGTCATTTCATACGTACAAGCATGCATTGGCAATCATGGCAATGCCTTTCAACATTTAAACTTTCAAATAAATTCATTGCTTTTGATGTTCCGTTTTACAAATTCTTTAGTAAAATAATACATGAAATGATACGATTGGATTTGTTTCAACAAATGCTATCGTACAAAAAAAATATGTGGTTCCATTTAAAAGAATGAATTTGACTGAAATTTTCCCACCCTTGCTCAACCTGCAAAAAAATAATTTGCTCCATATGGTGTCCTCCTTCATACCAAATAACTTTTGATAGGTTCAGTCTCTCATGAGATACTCCAACATTACGTGTTAATGGAAACACCATGTATATCGAAGCTTAGCCGCATACGCGCTTGATTGGTTCGCTTTATTACTTTATTTGCCTTGTTTTATTTCTGAAATGATCGTTGACAGCTAACGTACATACATATATCCTCTATCAAGTCGGCCGAGAATAGCTATATACGTATATATATGCTACGTATGCACATAGGTATCTGATGTTGAAGGCAGGGGTGTGGGGGTGGTAGTGGGTGGAAATGGAAAAGGAAGAGATAAGAAGAAGGAGGAGGAGGATGGAAGAAAGAAAGGGGTTAGACGAAGTAAAAATGGGGAGGGAGCTGGGTTTGGTGTAAAACAGATCTCGGCGGCGAGGGGGCGGAAGCGGAGAGAATTAGATCAATCAGAAGGAAAGATAATAAGAGGAGACCGAGAAGAAGGATGCGTGGAGGTGGATGAAGGGAGGGGGGCAGGAGACTCGCTTGCATTCGTTGGATGGTGTTTTGCTAGTTTGTAGACACTCACGCTGGTTCGCGCCACTACTGCAAGAAACTGTTGGTTAACGAGCGTGTTTTCGAGCACCGTGAGCTGCCAACGAATTATGACGAAACGAATGCGTTGAACACTCTTAGGCAAACGACAAACCCCGGTTTCTGGTGGTACATATCGTCCCACTTGCACGGTATCGGAAGCCCCACTGGTCCCGCCTCGAAAACACAGCCGGGCCCATCGCCAATGCCGATGTCAATGCCAATACCAATGTCAATGCCAATGCCGATGCCAGGCCGAATGCAAGTGCCATCAGTGGCAGCAGTGTCAGTGTCGTCGCTGTCGACGTTGTCAGACACCGCAGCCGACATCGATGTCGCGCGACGACCATCGACACTTGTTGTCGCATCCTCTTCAGGAGTGCCGGCCTCGGACCCCTCCGAATTCTCCGTGCTTAACGAGCCTATCGAGCCCGTCGTGCACCACTCACCACCGCGAGGGGTGACATCGTCGGGCTCAGGGGCCGGATTCTCTTCCAAGACTTTGAACAGATTCCTTCGAGGTAAATCATTTGGTTTGCAGACAGGAATTTCAAGTCGCAAACCGCTCGACTAAGGCTGGCTCACACGAATGGCTTTACCACATTATATTTATTTTATTCCCGTTAACAATAAGTGCACGCTAACAAACTTTTCTCCTTCCTCTCGAACCTCACCCCTTCTACACATTTGTATTTTTCTTGTTTGGTTCGTCTCTTTCATTTGACGTTTTCGTCGTTCTTGTTCACACCTATATACAGGGCGTTAATTTTAAAAAGATCATCTAAATTATTTCCGCTACTATTAAAGGTAAGAAAAAATTACTAAAGAGGATTCAAATGATTTTAATGCGTCCATCTAGTAATGATAAAAAAAAATCCTGTGTAGGTCATTTTGACAGTTTTTTAAGGTCAACGTACTTTTCTTTTTGCATATTAACATCCATCTTTTATAACGGAATGATGTAATCGGCGTCAAGACGAGTTCAGCGACCTAAATACTGTGACCTTGAAGTGATTTTGAAGACTAGAAAATGATATTCATGTTGAAGAATGTAAAAGTAATAAAGCAAGAAGAGTAATATCACCTTATTTTATTGTACAGTGATTTTGGAATGTTCAAACCATACTGTAACTACACTGTTTGAATTTTACTGAACTAGAAACCTTGCAGCTAGTATACAAAGCGTCTTGTGACATGGATTTTGCGACAACTACGTAGAATACGTGTTAAATAGCTATGCATTCTTGGTGTATCATAGAAATGCCATGAGAAATGTCATTCAATCACTTACTTATTGTGTGCAGACATGCCTTGATGCGGGCGGTCAGGATTTTGAACATCTAAAAAATAAGGTGATATTACTCTTCGCCTTTTATTACTGTTACATTCTTCAAAATGAAACTCATTTTTTCATCTTCAAGGTCATTACAAAGTCATGGTATTACATACCATTGTTAATTGGTTGTTGATTGTCTTGACGCCGATTACAACATCACGTTATAAAAAGTGGATGTTAACACTCGGACCACGCTTGGGTCCGTTCGGATCCCACTCTACACGTAGAACGCTCGCTTGTTTATGTTACAACGGTAACGAAGTGAGTGTGCCTCAAAACATGTATTTAAATAATAGTAATATAAATCAATCACTCTAAACAAAACAAAAATTTATTTGGGTCCAAACAGACCCAGGCGTAGCCGCATGCGTAAGTCGCTCGACGGCCCGCCGTCTGAGCGTTGATATGCAAAAAAAAAAATACGATGACCTTGAAAAAACTGTCAAAATGACCTTCGCAGGATTTTTTTTATCACCGCCAGATGCACGCCTTGAAATCATTTAAACCCTATTCAATCATTTTTTTCTTACCTTTAATAGTAGCGGAAATAATTTAAATATTTGATTTAAAATTAACACCCCCTGTGCGCGCGCGCGCGCGCAGGGTGAGGCGCTTAAAACAGGCCACCTGAATATCGCGGCTGCTATTGGTGATAGAAAAAAATATATCAGACTAAACTTGCTTAATGTCAATAAGTACCCACATAATCTGATGTCAATAGTTTTTTTTATAGGTGAGCAACTTTTTTTTTCTTAAATGGAATTATACATATGTATTTTTATGTACCATCTAGTAGAGAGTTTGATGTCGCGTACAATGACCTATAGTTCAAGGTCATTCAATTTCGTTGAAGGTCAACTGCGATGAAATATATTTTACTTCGAGGAAATGATCGAACACTTTGGTGATTTATTTCTCTAATAATATACTGCTAATTCAAGTGTTCAAAATGGTGACCTTAAGCATCGATGCATGCGCTAAAGCGTTGCGAGACGGATAACACGGTATGTTGAATTTCACGTGGATTAATCGCGATGCAAGCTCTTGTTATACGCTCTTCTATCTCTTCTCTGGTTGTTGGTATCTCATTGTACAATGCTGCTTTAATTTTCTCCATAAATAGAAATTGGAAGTTGTTAAGTCTGGGGAACGTGCGGGCCATTTGTAATTTCCTGCTCGAACAATCCAACGGTCTCCGATGTTAGAAAGTTGAGCCCCACTTAGGTTAATAAAATATCGCAAAGTAATAATATTCATGGGTAAAGATAAATATGAAGCGTACAATGTGACTGAATGTTACAAGAGCAACATTACCAACAACCAGAGAACACAAGAAGACGTTTGATCCTTTGCGTAAAGTAAATTATTTTCCATCGCAGTTGACCTTCAATGATCTTGCACCATAGTTTATTGTACGCGTCTTCAAACTGTCTATTTTAAAACCATATCATTCCAATTAAGAAACAAAATTAACTTTCATATATCCTCTACGCATCCATCTACAAAAAAACTATTGACATCAGATTATGTACTCTTTGGCACCAAGCAAGTTCAGAGGATTGATTTTTTCCTATCACCAATAGCAGCCGAAATATTCAGGTGGCCTGTTTTAAGTGTCTTACCCTGTACATAAGTACTTACATGTATGTGTTGTTTTGTTTAAATCTGGTTAACATTGTGCCTGCCGCCATTTTCCTATTTTTTTCGTCTTGCTTAAAAATTCTCCTTTTATACCCATCTCTCTTACGCTCTCTCTCTCTCTCGCTCTCTCTTTCTCTTTCTCCATCTCGATTGGGAGAATGATCAATGGAAGGGGACCGATCGAGAAACTTCTACGCGTCACAGGTATTCATTTTTCTTTTCTTTTCTTTTCTTTTTTTCTTTTCCTGTTTTGTTTTCTAATTCTTCGCGTATTTCGTGTTTTTGGAGACACTTAGAAGCCTTGAGAACGTACACGTATCGCGAATCGCTCACCGAACGATAACCGAATCGTATCCATTTAAATTTATTGCCCATTCTTCTTATGTCCCATTTGTCAGTCAGTCAGTTCCTCCTTTCCATCGAACGGAGAAAAGGGTTACGATTCTCTTCACTCTTCTCGCATCCCTCTCCTCTCTCTCCTCTCTCCTCTTCTCTTCACTCTCCTCTCTCTTCTCTCTCCTCTCTCCTCTCTCTTCTCTCTCCTCTTCTCTTCTCTTCTCTTCTCTTCTCTTCTCTTCTCTTCTCTTCTCTTCTCTTCTCTTGTTGTGCAACGCGCAATGCGTAATTGCAACGCGTCTCGAGAAACGCAGAAAAAGAGGAAGAACGAAGACGAGTGAATTTGATGGAAGGAAGGGGTTGATCGAGCCACGATATATCGTCCTCTCGATAACACCCCTTCTATTGTTACATGTTACGAATACACTGCGCCGTGTACATATACGTATATACCGTGAGATGATAAAAGAGTGAGGAGAAGAATGCAGTTTGATGCGAGCGTCGTTAGATCTTGTAGCCGCTATTTCATCCATCGGAGCTTTCTTAATGAACTTTTCAAGCTCGTTATCACACGCTCGTTGTTTGCCGTTTATGCGAACGACGTAATCTTTATTTTATGGTTGAAATAAACGATCAGCCACTGTTTGATGCTTGTTGTGGTTCGAAGCAATTGAGTCGCGTTTCGATTAATAGGAATCGATTAAATTACAGGTAGCGATCTCTTGACCAGCTTGACGACCACGTTCGATCGTAAATGGAGATCCCTGGTAAATTCGTCGAATCAAAACATGGCTCGTGGATCTGGCCCAGAAAACAACAACGTGTCCTCGTCCCTTAGCGAGGACGAGGACTTGGTGGCAGCTGGTGCAGTGACGCGAGATTCGCGGAACTTGCGAAACGCACGTGGGGGAGGGCTGCACACTAGAGGAGAAGAGAAGAACGATGAGCGTAAGGCTAACAATAAGATGAGCGCTGTTCAATCCACGGGTTCCTGTTCGGTGGTCGAGATTTATAGGGATCCGAGTCTTCATAAAACGTCCATCGAGAAGCATCATCCATATGTTCGTCAAAAAAATGCAAGTATACCGCGAGTTGATGCGAATCGCGATTAACAAGTTGAATTGCTAATTAAATGAAATACGGATGCTATTTATGATAAAAGTATCATCTGTCTGATGAATGGGTTTTGTTGTTCGCGCAGGATGCCCCGGAAAAGGATACGGATTCATCGGTAACGGAGAATAACGGCATGGTCAATCGACGGCTTGATGATGATGTGCCAGACAACGATCGAAGCGCCATTGTACGACGAAGAATTGAATCAAAGCAAGAGCAATTGCGCTCGAGCAAAGAAACGATCCAAGAGCCATCATCGGATACGAACGAGTCACAAGGATGCTGTAGGATCGAGAAAGAGGTGACGTCTTCGGTATTGTCCGACGATATGAAAGATATTCGACGTGATCTCGATGATTCCAACTACTCGAACAAACTCGAGAAATTCGAAAGTCTGACGAACAACTTGGAGGTGAGATCACGACTAAAGAGATCGGAGTCTTTGAACAAGAGATCGGAAAACACCTCGTCCAAGTTGAAGAGGTCCGAAAGCTTGAACAAGCATTCTGCCGAAAGACTCTCGTCCCCGACTAATGGCAAGCTGAAACGGTCCGAAAGTTTGAACAAGCATTCGGAGAGATCCGATTCTCCGAACAGTAAATTGAAACGGTCAGAGTCGTTGACGAAAACTGAGAAGACCGAATGTAACATTAGCAAGAGACGGCAATCCGTTCGAAAGGATAGCGCAACGAAACTGAAACGAAAGAACGGTATGCCAGAACGATCGATTAAACGTAGACACACCGTAGGCGGTACTAAGGACTTCGACAAAGTACACTGGTTGGATAACAAGTTACAGGTCGAGACCGAGAGGGTCGTTAGAAACGAGTATAGACCGAAGAAAAGTCAATTGCGTACAAGTTCGCCGGATTTGAGTACCAGTCGTATCGGTCTCACCGATGCTGCCAGTTTTCTCATCGAAGTCAGCTTTCGTGGCCCGAGCAACGTCGTTTTTAACGTAACTAACACTCGTCCACAATCCTTGCCGGATACTAGCTTAGCTTCCAAAGTATTTAAAGTACCTCTCGAGAGTCACGTGTAACGTATTCCACGTCGTTGTAATGAAGCAGAAGGAGAAGACGACGACAACGATGAAAAACCGATGCGAAAGTAGAGTCCGCGAACCTCGGAAAGATGATCGATTGTTAAGCACCAACGCGTTCCCTTTTTTTTTCATTTCTTTTTCTTTCAAGAAGCATTTATATCGCAGCGTGTCAATTACTTATTTACCTATCGTACTTGTAAATCGTGATCGTGTGCAATCTTTTTGTATATATCCATAGCGTACGTAGATTATGAAACTGTCGAATTGTGGGTAGGGTGTGTGCGGATGCGCGCGTGTCGTTATCATCGCTACAACGGAACGACTGTTTAACACGCGGAATTTGTATTTTTTTAATAACGGAATACAACCGTATTTCACGTAGCTTTGCGTTCAATCAAACGCATCGGCTGTGTGACCAAATCGATCGACGTTTTTCATCTATCTATGCATTTTAAGCGTATTCGTAGAGTAACAGCGATTCACGACGAATCGTTTTGCTTCTCTCCTCAGGAATAACATTTGTTCCTTCGATTATTCTATATGCGTATACAGACTAGATTCGTTCGACCGTTTAACACGAACGATGATAGTATTCCTTTTACCTGAACAATTACGATTTCGTTCTTCAACTCAATTTGTTAAACCGAATCGTAAAATTGTGTAAGGCGATCTCGCCAGCCTGATAATCGATTTTCTCGTACTTGTAAATACATATATGTATGTACGTAAACGAATGAATCTATAGGCCGACGATAAAACGATATTTATTTTGAATCCGTAACAATCGTGATACTGTTATTTATTAAATGTATCGAGATTCCTGCAACCGAAGGAAACATGTATCACCCATTACGGACACGCGGTATCGAATTTGTAAATAAATCTTATATATTGCTAATTTAAAAAAAAAGAAAATGATTAAACGCAATAATTGAACGCCGTACCTCCGATCCTTGTTTAGTTTCATCTTGAACAACATCTTTATCTACCGGCCAAATCATACGCATGCGCACAATGTTTACTTTTAAAAGAATGTATAGATGGCATTATCTTCGTCACGTAACAGGTATTCGTATAATGCATTTGGGTTTCATTTTCAAACGTAGTACACTTTGCGCTCAAATTTTCGAATACTCATTTGATTTAAAAAATATGAATGTAATAAGAACCGAAACGGTTTTTCAACCACAGAAAAAACGATGTGAAATAAAACAGAAAGAATTGAACGTTCCTTTAATGAAGCATCGTACGTAGCAGTCATTGTAAATTTCATCGACCATCTTTTCTTTATCAATTCAATTTATCGTTCGTGATCTCGTCCGCTGCTTACACATATTCTCTTTTCTCCTTCCTTTGCCTTCTATTTTCACGGAAACGTTATGTACTCGAACAGATTGGAAGCCGGCAAGCTTGAATTATTCGAAGAGTTCAAGAATTCAGAGCATAGGGCGATCAACGAAACGGACAGCTCCCCCCATATCGTCCTCTTTATTGACTAGTATGTCCCGTAATTACACTTCTAGGTGAGTTTCGTTGACTGATAATTAACGTATGTAGATAACGCGAACGCTTATAATACTTTATCCACATCCTTAGAACTGGTACGAGAACAACAGCGGGTGGTGGTGGTATCTCGAGTTTGCTCGAATCTAACGGTGGTGCCATTGTTCTCGGTGAGTTTTTCGCTGAGTTTTCTTTTAGATCATTCTCGACTACTCAATTAATAACTCGGTCACGATCTCGCGATAGCGATAACGACCGGTCGAGGTGATGCTAGGTCTGAAGTTGGAATGGCTGCATTGGATATCCGATGTCCACACCTGATTCTCTGTCAGATCAGCGATTCTCAAATGTACGCGAACACGTTGAGCAAATTGTATTTATTCGACCCGGTAGAGGCAAGTCTTTTTAGATATGTAGATCTACGCGTTCGCATCGTATCGAATTTGATCTTATGAAATGTATGTTATGTCGTTTCGTTTCGTATATCGTATAGGTCTTAATACCAGACACAATGTGTGAGCGTGTGGCGGGTAAAAGTGTACTTTATCGTTCGATAATGGAGAAATTTCCCGAGCTAAAAGTAACGTCCATATCACGTGTTCACTTCAACGACGCGATCGGATTGGAACGAGTGAAATCCCTTTGTATTGCTGAATACTCGTCGGTACAATTATTCATTAAGCAAAAGTAAGTTATTTACCTCTTCTTCCTTGATTCAAATTTATCTGGGGAATAATTTCTCATTTCACGTTTTCGTTTTTGTCCAGATACTACGCGTTAGCCGCCGCTGCAGCGCTACTAAAATACGTCGAATACACGCAACGTGTTGTTTACACTCCAAAATCTATCAAAATCGAATTTCAAGGTTCACCAAATGCTACCAAGATAGGTAAATATACAATAGTTGGGGTGAATGCAAAAAGCAAGAAACTGTTCAAAAAAAGTTTCGGTTTCAAATATGTGTTTATTTCAAATACAGAAAAAATAACGCGTGTGAGGATTTTTTCATAGATTTGGAAAGCGCGCGAAGTTTGGAGTTGGTGCAGTCGCAATGTAATCAACGAAATGTTAGTCTGTTAGGTATCCTGGATCGTTGTTCAACGCCGATGGGTAAAAAACTTTTACGGGTCAATATTCTACAACCTCCCTGCGAAGAATGCATCATACTCGAGCGACAGGCCGCTGTTGCTGAACTAGTATCCAATCATTCGTTACGGGCTCTTGTTCAGGTTGAAATATTTTAGCTATATTTTTTGAGATCTTCTTGACTCGCACTTTTCCCTAAAAAAAATACCAAAAAATTCTATCGTAGCCCATCGTGCGGCAACTTTATGGTGCAGATAGGCTTTTAACTTTATCGACAACACCTGTTTTCCATGAAAACAGCGTACAATGTGCGGAGCACAATTTAAATTACGTTTTGCTACTGAAAAATTTATTGGATGTCGTACCAGAACTTGGAAAAATATTGTCAGCTGCCGAGAGTGATCTACTGCGCAGAATTGAAAAGGTTCGTGCAAACTTTCCCGCCGTATTACGTCCTACACATTGCGTACACTGTTCTATGCCATCTAATGGATTTATCTAGAAGCTAGAGAATCACGAATTTCGGTTGATACTGGAACGAATTCTCGAAACGATACATCCAGAAGCCAGATCCGTGACAGGATATACATCCTTGAATATGCAACGTTGCTTTGCTATTAAGGCAGGAATTAACGATTTATTGGATATCGCCCGTCAAACTTACTGCGAGTTAATCGATGATATGAAAAGTCGGTAAACGATCAATGAAGCCGGATTTCTTTAAGTTTCTTTAACAAAAAAAATGAAATAACTGATCCCTGTTTTTGTATCTTTCCATGTTAGCCATGGTGGAAAACTTAGCATCCAAATACAAATTAACTTTGTCGTTGAATTGTAACGCTTCTCTGGGTTATCATTGTCAAGTGATATTGCCCCGAAATTCGAATGCTGAAATCTTTGACCCACCGCCCGAGTTCATAGAGGTAGTACGGTAACGATAATAATTGCCAATGTTAGTAACGATAATACACTTTTCTCGCGTTCTGAATATAACACTCAGGTACGGAAGAATAGACGAATGTATACCATGACTACCGGTGCGCTCGCAACCTTATCGCAACAATGTAAAATTGCGTGCGAGGAATTACATCTAATGAGTAACGTGTATGTATCGTTAGTATAAAGTATGTATAGGTATAATACTCTAGTTCCTGTTTAATTGAAAATTTCATGTTTCGTACAAATAGTCTGTTGTGTGATTTACTACAAAGTATCCGAAAATACGTCGGTTGTTTGTTCCAATTAAGCACGGACGTCGCGGAACTTGACTTGATCGCTTCTCTTGCTCAAGTCAGTTCTTTACAGACGTATGTGAGACCAACGTTTGGACCCAAGCTGGAATTATATGACTCGAGGCATCCGGTAATTGAAGTTTTTGGCCTCGATGGCCCCATACCCAATAACGTGGTAATCTATTTTCTTTTTCCTTTACCATCTTACCAGATACGCAAAATTGTGTTTACTTCTTCACTTTGCCATTGCCATTACAGAATGCGTCGATATCTCAGAATCTATGTATAATTTCTGGACCTAATATGAGCGGCAAATCGACTTATCTCAAACAAATCGTTTTGTTGCATATAATGGCGCAGATTGGATGTTTCGTACCAGCCAACAAAGCAGTGTTTCGGATAACGGATCTAATATTCTGCAAGATAGCCGTTCACGATGATATTGAATGCAACGCTTCCACGTTCGCTCTCGAGGTGAGTGAATTTTCCTCTAATACACGCGGATGAATAATTTTCGCGTTATCCTTTATAGATGAAAGAGGCGCAGTATATCTTACGATCCGTTACATCAACTTCGCTGATCGTTTTGGATGAATTGTGTAAAGGTACTGCGATCGAAGAAGGTTCTTCGATCGCATGGGCTATATGCGAAAAACTTTTAAATACGACTGCTTTTATTTTTGCTGCGACTCATTTCTCCTACTTAACGAAATTGACTGATTTATACAGCAATGTGATCAAGTACGACTGTGAAACGTTTTCCTTTTGGCTTTCCTCGACTAACGATGTTTTATTATACATATAATAACGCGTCGCCTATTACTTTTCAGTCGGCACTTCGAAACGATAAACGTTCAAGAAGCAGAAATAGACCATTCCTGTAACCGCTTAACGTATACTCATCGACTAAAACTGGGCGTAACACCTACCGAGGATTATGGCATCGTTTTAGCTGAATTATCCGGTTTACCGAAATCAGTTGTAGAAAATGCACGAAAATATGCTTCCGAGCAAGTGATGGTAATCAAGGGTCCATTTTACATTGAATTCTACTATTATTATTGTTATTAGTATTACGATTGTATAATCAGAAACGTGCTAATCTCCCGACAGACTGTTAATCGAGTTACAACCAACAAGTCCAGTGCACGGAAAAAATTTCATTACGACAATATACTGATAGAATTGTATGAGTATTTACAAACTGATAGAATTAATCGAGAACACGTAACTTTGCTTGTCGAACGCTTCGTAAAACTTTGGAAACAAATGGAGGGTGAAGGAAACACGCAAGAAGAAAACGAAGGGGAAGGAGAAGAAGAGAAACCGAAAGATGTTACTTTTACTGTTTCAGATCGTATTATCGGTACCGATGTCTCGATCGAGACGCTTCAAACACAAACTAGAAATCACCATTTTCTGAATAATTTATTCGATTTAAAACATAATGAACATAATGCGTCTTGTAAGCACACGTTTCATTCAATCGACTCTTTATCCTTTTATTCACGCAGAATGACGAGTATTTCCAACAAATCCGCGAAACTTTCCGTTATTAACAAAACTGCTGTCTCTCCTTCGTTCACGCATGCGTCATCGTCGATGCAAATATCTAAGGTGGAGAGACCAATGAAACTGTATGAATATTTTCTCTCAGACGACGATTTTGAACCCTCCGACATATCTCCCATTTCTATCCTTATTGACGATACACTGTGCTCTGATACGCATGTTAAGCTTTGAAAATCATGAATAGATCCATCCTTGTTAACACTAGGGTTACGGACATTTCTTAGATACCTATCTCTACGGACACGCGTGAACGAAACTGCACATTTTCTTTAAAAAAACAACTTATATTATTTAAAAACAACATATTATACACTCTTAACTCATAAATGAAACTATATGATATTATACATATATTTATATAAAATGTATAATAAGCATAAGTGGTAGGAGGAAAATGTAAACGGTTTCTGTCATTTTCCTTGTGAAATTCGAAATGCATCAAAATGATGCGTCCCGTAAACCTAGTGTTAATGAAAGTAAGTTGATTTAACGAAACTTAGCATTCAGTTGTGCAAATTTTTTTTATTCTTTTTTTCTTATTTTTTCCATACATATTCGAACGACGATATCAAATTACAGATACACATACAACATTCGTTTTCCTTTTATTTTAACATAATTTCTCATAAATCGATAATGAAAGTTTCAGATAATGTTAAAAAAAGTAAGTCAATATTATTTTAGGAATTATGTAATTATACATACAGTAGCCTACAAAAGTGTTCGTATAGGAGAATGAATTTAGTTTAACTTAATTTTATTGATATTTAATAGGGTTGTTTTTAATTTAGTTATGTATAATTAAAGTACAGGTTTGAATCGAATAAAATCATTTTTCATTGTGTAATTGAAGGATACTTATTAAGAGGTAGACATATCGTCTTACAAAAGTCTTCATATGGTCGCGGGATTTTACTGTGTAGACATTCAAATGTTAAGAAAAAATGACGAAGCGAAACATTTGAATGAATTCTAAATGAGCAAAAAACAGCAATCTTGGAGAGACATAAGCAGTATTGTTGAAAAACCACATTTCACAATACAATATATTCTCAGGAAGTATAAATATGAACAGTGTGTTGCTAACAAATTGCGTACCAGAAAATCCAAGAAGTTGGGAATAAGAGAACAGAATTTTATTTCAAGGAAAATAAAAGCAAACCACAGTACCAGTGCAACAACTATTGCTAAAGAGCTAAAAGAATTTACTGGAATTGATGTTCATACAGAAATTATAAGGCGAATATTACATCGAAATGCTTTTCGTGCACATACCGCTAGACATAAGCCACTCGTTAGCGAAACCAATCGAACGAAAAGATTGGAATTTGAAAAAAATTATGTGGACAAACCACTGTCATTCTGGGAGAAAACTGCATTTGCTGATGAAAGCAAATACAATGTTTTCGGATTTGATAGAAAGAAAAAAATGTGGTGAAAACCAAGATCGACATTGAATAAAGAAAATTTACAAGCAAGCGTTAAGGGTGGTGGCGGGTCCGTAATGGTGTGGGGATGCATGAGTGCAAAGGAAACAGACAATTTACATATAATTGAGAGAATTATGGACAAATTTGTTTATTTAAATATATTAAAAAACAATTTGAAATTTGGTACTGAAAAACTTGGAATTGTAGTTCTCTACAATTTTTACGAGGACAACGACCCCAAGTACAAGTCATACTTGATCCAACAATGGCTTATTTATAATGTTTCCCATATCATGGTGGCACCTCCCAAGTCCCCAGATCTCAACCCGATTGAGCATCTGTGGGAAGAATTAGATAGAAAAATTAGAAAACAGCCAATTTCAAACAAGGAAGACCTGAAACAAGTTTTTAAATTTGAATGGAAGCAAATTAGTTCTGAAATAACTACGAAATTGGTGCAATCAATGCCGAGACGATTGCAAGCAGTAATTCATGTGAAAGGTTTCCCCACAAAATAGTAATAGACTTTAATATAGGATATATGTAATTTTATTATTAAGTGTATAAAGACTTTTGTGTGACAATTTTGTACGTCATAATAAATATCCTTCAATTACACAAGAAAATATTATTTTATTCGATTCAAACTTGTCCTATTTTGAAGATTAAAAGCTGTACTTTAATTATGTGCAACTAAATTTCATAAAAACACTATTAAAATATTAATAAAATTAGGTTAAACAAAATTTATTCTCGTTTCATTTGTATCCTTTCTCCTTAACCTTTGATCTTTGTGATTGCCAATTATTCGTTATCACATTCGACACATCCCTTCTTTTCGCTTTTCGATCTGTGCTCCCTCTTTCTTTCTCTCGTTCAAACTTCTTTATTGTCTGTTCCGAATGTTAATGACGCCTCTCGCTGAAATTAACCTCTTACATTATACAAGTATAGGTTAAGTTTATCTTTGATAATAAATCGAATTATGCATCTAGCAAAACAATTTCAAATATTTGAATCATTTCGAGAGCTTCTCAAAGAATTCAGAACATTGGGAGACGTTTGTAAATGTACCTAGTGCTTCAGGATATCGTAGCTGTTGCGTTCGCCGTTGTGTAATTCTATGTGAAGAATTATTTTCTTCGTGATTCGTATATTAATTCGGATGAAGGGAAATATGTTGACGCCACACAATGTAATTACAGAGCCTCCTCATGTCGAAGCAATACCCATAAATCTCGTTGCTACTGAGGATGGTCGAACGCTTTTAGCATTGACAGGTGAGAAGCTCTCTCAATAAAATTCGAATTATTTACAAGAAAAATTGCTAATAATTTGTCAAAATTTTTACAGAACATAAAGACGGTGTGTTGGAAATTGTTGCAGCTCCGGTTACGTTTATTGGTCAAAGTGGAGCAGCTGCATCATTCGTAGATGTAAAAAATCTGAATGAAAATTTGATATTACATTCGGTACATTCTCGTTCTAGATTTTATACTTTTATTCAAAGGACACTGTTTAACGTTTCAATTTTCAATGTTACATTCTAGCCTATTTTTCAAATAAGTGTCGAAGATGTTATCAATGGAATGGAACTTCAACAGTCTGTGCAAAATCTTGAAACTGAATCCGATAATACAGATTATGCAAAGATACATTCGTATATGGATATAAAATGCAAGAGAACAGTTACTCAAGAATATCAATACCCTCCACAGAACGATCTGCTAATCGATGATGAAAAAGATGATAAAATTTGTAAACAAACATCAACAAGTGCAATCGTGAAAAAAAATAATCCGGGAAGACCCAAGAAAAATCTAACTCTTTCTTTGCAAGTAATTCAATACTTAAATTATTTCTGATTATTTAATTCCTTTTACATCAACTAATTATTGGGTTGAATGGAAAGTTTGTGCGTTTCTGAAGAGATGTCTCTGTATTGTCCGTTACATAACTGTTTCTTAATTATTCTTTTATTTTCATAACCTTATTTAGTATTCTACCTCTTGTTGTACTTACAAGTATATTTTGAGCCTTTCATTTGTGTTTTTCTCATTGCTAAAGCCCACCAGAAATGTCTATTGATAAGATGCATATTTGTTCACATACTGTTTTACAAGTTTCGTAGAGAAACTACAGCTATGAAAACATTAAAACATTTGTGAAGTGTATGGAGAAGATGCTGTGAAGATTCGTATGTATCAAAAATGGTTCAGAACATTCCTATCAGGAGATTTTGGCTTAGATGATTCACCATGTTGTGGGCGACAAAAAGCAGTAGATGAGGATAATTTGATGGCAACAATTGCCATAAATCGTCGAATTAGAGACTAATGGAAACTATATAATTGATTAAATAAATCAGTTTTTACAAAAACAATACAGTGGAATGTCGTAGAATAAAAGCGCACGAACTTTCCGTTCAACCCAATATGTAATATTCCATTATCCACTGTTCTCTTTAAATCTATAAATAATGCATAAAGACAGAAAAGCAAATCAATTTTCTTTTAATATTAGGGCATAGAGAGTTTAAAATGCGACATTTGTCATCAAGAATTTGTTAAACAAACGTTGTATCGGAAACACATGGAAAATCACGCGGAGGAGAAACCACATCGATGTCCAAAATGTTCTGCATCGTTCAATGTACCGGTATGATGTAACAACATATATACAGAATGTTTCAAAACATGTGGTCATAACTTCAGGGATAGATTCAGTACGCTAAAATAAGAAAAAAAGTTCATATAAACATATACCCGATATGAACTTGTTTCCGAATAGAGAGAGTTGTCGGTGAATTCAAACAACACCTGGTATTTTTGAACGAGTGAGAAGATCTATAATACGACGTTTGGAAGCCTGCATTCTAGCCAAAGATGGTCACTTCGAACAATTGCTATGAAAATTATTAAATAACAGATATCATACGAAAAGGACTATAATTCGGAAACAAGGTCATATCGGATATGTTTATATGAACTTTTTTTCTTATTTTAGCGTACTGAATCCATCCCTGAAATTATGTCCACATGTTTTGAAACACCCTGTATAATAATAATACATAACACAATATAAATAAGTACAGCCATCACCTATTATTTTTCAACTATCGTTGTAGACAAATTTCACGCTTCACATGGCAACGCATAATACGGGTGAACCAAAATGTCCAGAATGCGGTAAGAAATTTACGAGAATGGCTAGCTTGAAATCTCATATGTTGTTGCATGAGAAAGAAGAAAATTTGTTCTGTACAGAATGTGAAGATGCATTCTCGACGAAAGTAAGTTTCAATATTAAGACTTGTATTTTGATCGCTCTTAACTTTTATCGTTAAGGACAAAGTAAGTACAGTAGACTCCCTCTTATTAGGTCATGCTTATACGGCTAAAGATCCGTAGAGGTCTCGTAGGGACCGGTTAAGAGGGAGTCTACTGTAGTATGTTTTCATTTGAACATGGTAAGAAAAGAAAGTATACGCAAGCGTGCGCGCGCACCCACGAAATAGTTGACTTAAATAATAAAAGTGCATGTACAGTAATGTTTACAATTGGCCACTAGTTTGGATTCTACAATTGACCACATAGATAGTCCTACGCTCTAGGTCTGCGGCATTGCTGCGCCTATGTTATCTCGCTCGCAGTCAGTCAAACGTATAACTGTACACCACTCGGTTTCTTTTACGAGATTTCACGGCTCTACAGTTCATAATAGAATAATATAACTTTTTTAATTTTACTTTTTTTTATCTGAAATTTTTTTTTGGATAAAAAGGATAAAAAAACGTAAAATTAAAGAAGCTTGTATTTAAATCGCTCGGTTGCCTCGACTCTCGTTTCATCCTTATCTTTTATTCGATGTCCTTATCTTCGTTCGGCAAACTACAAAGGCGGGCGCGAGGTTCGAAAACGTAGTCCCTGACTCTTCAATTGGCCTGTTTAGGTTCCTTGCTGGTGATCAATTGTAGAGACATTACTGTAGTTGTTAGTTTGAGAACCACTCGTGAATTTTAAGCTAACGATACATCATTCATGAATATCACAGGCTCAATTGGATGCACATTTGAAACTTCATGGGGAAAAATGGACGACCGAAGAAGTACGAAAATGTAAATTATGTAATAAACAGTTCAGTCAACCAGCCTTGTACAGGCTTCATATTCGTGAACATTATAGAGTAAGGAATTGTAGGCTTCACGTTCGTTATGATCGGCAACTGTTGTATTACTACTTCATTTTTATAATATTTTTCTTCCTAGTTGCAGACAAAAATAGTAAAGCAAACGAAAAGAGGGACAAAACACAAAACAATGTATAAATGTACCATATGCTTAAAATCCTTCCAGAAACCGAGTCAATTGATGCGGCATATCAGAGTGCATACTGGTGAAAAACCTTTCAAGGTAAACCCATTGTAATTTTATACAATTACATCTTTCAAATGATGCACGATTATAATTTTCGTGAAATTTCAAAGTGCACAGTGTGCGGTCGTGGATTCACGCAAAAGAGTTCATTACAAACTCATACTTGGCAACACAATGGTATTCGACCACATGCCTGTGAACTTTGTAATGCTAAGTTTAGCCAAAAAGGTAATTTTCCGATAACTGTTTGTGATACGAGTTATCGCTTTTTACATTACATCAATATTGAAAATGAACGTTATATGCTTATAGGTAATTTAAACGTTCATATAATGAGAGTTCACAATGTCCCAGAAGGGGAACACATATACGGATGCAATTATTGTTCGTGCGTATTTAAAAAGCTTGGCAGTTTGAATGGTCATATGAAACGTATGCACACTAATATAAACGAAGTAAGTTATAATTATAAATATTGTTGTCAAGTATTGTTGTCAAGATTGAGGTGCATTCGATTTTTAGGAAAATGCTACCGTTGATAGTACTCAATCGGCTGATACTGTAGAATCCGATATTCGCGCGACTGTGGATAATGTTATAACTCAATTGGCGTCTTTGGAGTCGAGCTCAAATGAAACAACGAAATCGCCAAATTCCGAATCGTGCGTATTAACGGAGAGTATGACGAAAAAAGATATTCTACAACAAGCGCTGAAAAATAGTGGTCTTCCTAGTAAAAACAAAATTATTGAAGGTACGTGATACGCTCAAGAACTACAAGATCATGGCAAAATTATTTTTAGTTAATACTTTCCTGTTCATGAAGCTTGTTTGTCGAAGGTACGTCAAAAACAAAAAGGTTCGAGGCTCGCACTAACTTTGTGACATTACTGGATCGAGCACCTGACGGCGCTACCAGGTAATCTATTTTATTTTCTGATTTTTCTTAAAAACAAACTTGTCAAATGAAATTGGTTGGTATCATAGTTGTTGTTGTCCCTGTTATTGTTAAACTGCTGTTGTCGTTATTGTTATCGTTGTTGTAGAAAGTATTTGACGATAAAACAGCGATGCGTAGGAAACGTAAGATGGTATGCGTGCATCTTTTGTCATAAAGAATTCAAGAAACCGTCAGATTTGATACGTCACTTGCGTGTACACACACAAGAGAAACCTTTTAAGGTACGTTCGAGTTATGCAAAGCATATTTTACACCCTTACGCGTAACACGCAATGTATTCTTACATTCTCCTTGTACGAGGTACTTATACCAGTTTGTGTATACAGTGCACGTACTGTTCTCGTTCATTCGCTTTGAAGTCTACCATGATGGCACATGAACGCACCCATTCAGGTGACAAAAGGTACGCTTGCGGTTCTTGCGACAAAACATTCGCATACCATGGTAGCTTGAGTGCTCACAACAGGTGAGTGTTAGTAGCATTTTTTTTTTACGATGGGAGAGCATCGATCCTAAAGTAATCAAATTGATTTGATGGCAGATTGCACGCAAAATCGGACAAGTGCTCTAACAAATCTGTTGATAACGATAGGGATGATATTGATGCGCACGTGACAATCGAGACTGATATTTATTATGGCAATCAGTCGAAAAGCCAAACGACGAAGAATAAATCAAAATTATCCCCGGAAGCAGAAAGTCTAATTCCGCAAGTGGTTTTGCAAGAACCGTTAGTAATAAGCGATGCGGGCAACAAAATTTGCGTGGCACAAGTACCTTCGAAAGAGAAACGAGTTTATGAAACGGCAGCTGATCCAGCTAGACCGCACAAGTGTTGGGTTTGTCAGGCGGCATTCAGAAAGATCAGTCATTTGAAGCAGCATCATCGCCGCCACACAGGAGAACGTCCTTATAAATGCACAAAATGCGATAGGTGTGTGTGTGTGTGTGTGTGCGTGTGTGCGTGCGTGCGTGCGTGCGTGCGTGCGTATATGTATATGTTCGATTTAAATTATCTTTAACTTTTATTTTTAACATGTACTGTATTGTTCCGAAATAAGCAATACGCTCTGGACCGATCAGGTATACTATTCGGCTTGACTTTATTCTCGAACGGGACGAGAGAACATTGAGAACGAGCAAAAGGTTCGAGATATGTATAACAGACCAGGATTGCTAATTCTAGAGTGAGAAAGCATCATACATATTCTATTCTTCTACCAAACGATGTCATTCTTTATTCGATTGTAAAGATTTATGGCTTCTCGCTTTCACGAACCTCTCACTCGTTCTCAAATCTCTCACTTTGCGGAAGATTTCAAAGAAAGAAGAGGGGATAGCGAGTTGTTATTTTCGAGCCAGACAACAGTTGCTTCTTTCGAATCAAGACTATGAGCAAGCTATTAACTTCAGAATAATATATCACTTATTGTGTGTCCACCGTTCTTTCTCGCTTCCACGTTTCATTCATCCCCCCCGATCTGTCTGTCTGTCTCTGTCTTTCGTACATACACATCTATGCGTGGTGTTATTAATTCGACAAGCGAGTAACGAATGTTTTAAATCATGTTTCAGGAGATTCACGTCGAATAGCGTTCTAAAGTCGCATTTGCATACGCACGAGGATTCGAGACCATACGGTTGTTCAATTTGTAATGCGAAATTCTCTACGCAAAGCAGTATGAAAAGGCACTTGGTTACTCACAGTAATAAAAGACCGTTCATGTGTCCATATTGTCACAAGACTTTTAAAACTTACGTCAACTGTCGGAAACATATGAAAATACATAAACACGAATTGGCACAACGGGTACGGTATTATTGTTATAGGAAAGAGAAAGAAGAAAATAGAATCGTTATTAACGATGTGTCGTTATTTCTTTTTCTCGATCCATAGCAATTGGAACAAGAGAAAATTCAAATGCAAAAACAAGCTTCAGACAAGTTGAATTTGAAGGAAAATTTTAAAGAAGAAGCGGCTCTCGAATCGTCTTGTACCTCCTCTGTCTCTATTACTACCATTAGTACCACCGCCACCAGCAACATCTCTATCACTAGCACTACTGCCGCCACCGCCAACCCAACCAACACCACCACTACCACCACCTCTACCATTGTCACAACATCCTCTTCTACGTTTTCAGATAATCTTCAGACACTCTCTCGTCTTGGATCAGTCGAAATATCATTTCAACCACAGCTCGGAACAGAGTTTTCGCAAACTTTTCCCGAGTTCGAAAGTATAACTGATGAAGAAAAGGAAAAAGTAAGACCGGTTTTACCAACAAATTGTGACGCTACAACGTTTATTAATCGTACGTGTTTAAAACTCGTATGTCCTTTTTAGGTACCGAGAAAAGGTACTATTCGTTTGAATTGCAATTTCCTATTTTTCTCTCTTGTCTTTTACAGAAAATGTGACGGGAATAGCGATGACGAATCTTGAGAATTCGCAGATATTGCATGCCGAGGAAAGTGGTTCAGTCACGCTACCAGTTTACTCCAGTGATCAGACACTCACTCCGGTACATATCTTTTCTGTCGGTTAACTGCCTGCCTATATACATGAAAACATAGTAAAACCTCTTTCAAAATTGTTCAATAACATTTTAAATGAAAACCCTTTATCCACATGTATTATAGGAAAGTATACGGGAAATCGAAGAAACGTTGAATCGACAACTTTTTAATATCGGAATGAATCTTAGCCTAGGAAGTAGTCATTCAAGGCATTCGAATAATACGAATATCAATGATTTTTGTAATATAAAAGAAGAGCAATCGCAACAGCAACCTGTATTGAATATTATATACGAAAATAACAATAACAATCACAGTAACGACAACGTGGGACCGTCTGGAGGGGATATTTTTGCACCACAGTTAGATTCATTCGGGATGGATCATATTGCCTTGCAAGTGAGCTGAAAATACTATTAACATCTTGGATAAAAATCTCACACATTAATGAACGAAGCTGATTCTGTTTTTCAGTCGGACGCTGAAATCGATATCGGATTGGATACAAGTAATTCAGCTAGCATGGCAAGCATATTACCCAGGAGCGTGAAAGAAGAGCATCGGCTCTCTGTTTGCGTTACAACGCCAGATGATGTGAACGATGATCAATCGGAGAGATCTACAGTACAGACGGTAGTATTTATTTCTCAGCACAATTTTCCAAGAAAGGAGAGTAGTACGGTGAATGAATTGGGAATAGAAGAAACAGGCAAGGACAGTAGCGGTGACCAACAGCAATGTACAATCAATCCCATACTTTTGACGTAAGTTTTCGTTGATTCGGTATTTCACATACGCATGCACTCATACGTACCTACGCGCGTTCCATAAAACAGAAGTGGTTCTCTACCGTATGATAGATTTACGACAAAACGAATGAAGAACAATTGTGAATATATTTGACTTGTGTAGAGAAGAGATTCAAGGAACATCTCAAGATTTCAAGATTCGTACAAATGTGCACAAGATGTCGTCCGATATTCCAGAAGTCATGAAAACCGCTATAGGCAAAATATCTCGAATAGGATCTAATCTGTTGCAGTGTCATATGTGTAGTCAGCAAGGATTCACAGCAATTGGACTAAAGGTTAATGTTTTCAGATTTGGACGATGAAACGTTTTCTTCTTATCGTTGCTTCAATATGTCCATACGATTGCCCGTAAAATGTAAAAATTTAGTAAAGACAATCCTTCGATTTAAGGAACATTTGACAAGCCATCGTGGAACGAAAGAGTATCAGTGTACAGAATGCTCTTCACGATTCTGCACAAACGGTGGATTAAATAGACATTCGAAGATACACGTAATTAAACAGTGAGTATAGTTTAAATGTATTACTTTGCGTTAGCTATAATTAACCAATCATTGTTACTTTGCTTGCGTCCTCGTGCAGATCGTTCAAATGTCCGTCGTGTGAGAAACACTTTGATGATAGAATGCAACTGCGATCGCATAGTAAAATACATGAAAGTCCGGTGTGGGATGCTATATCTTCGGGAACAAGTTCGGAGAATTTGACTGTTCCATTGGAAGTGCGACCTATTCCGATCGCAAATAGTGATTCGCCGTTGAACAATATCATAATAGATCCCGATGCTGCCGTTTCTGAGAAAGTTCTTCTAGACACAGTGGCGGAGAAAGAAGTAATGGATCGAGTGGTAGAAGTAAGTTGTCCACGACTAATCATCTCTGCTGTTATGCTACGCAATAACGGTAGGAAAGTAAAGGAGAGAATGAAAGATTAGAGATGATTAAACGGTTTATGAATCGTAGAACACCCTGATGGAGAAAAAGGAACGAAAGGAGTACACAAACAAGTGCAAGTATTGCCCAAAAACGTTTCGCAAACCGAGCGATCTCATACGACACCTACGAACGCACACAGGGGAAAGGCCGTACAAATGTGATTATTGCAGCAAAAGTTTTGCCGTGAAATGTACTTTAGATTCGCACACGAAAGTTCATATCGGGAAAAAGACGTTTCGTTGCCACGTGTGCAGCAGTCTGTTTGCGACTAAGGGCAGCTTGAAGGTTCACATGCGATTACATACAGGTAAGTGAGAATAGAATCATTTCCATCGTCGTATGTTATTTAACAAAAAAATTCTGATCATCTGCTTATTCCGAAGGTTCAAAACCGTTTAGATGCTCTATATGCGATTCAAGATTTCGAACTTCTGGCCACAGAAAAGTACACCTATTGAAACACGCACGCGAATGCAAAGAGAATCCAAAAAGAAAACAGAAACACATGAAAGTTGCGGCCATAGCCGAAGTAGCTGCTGATCTTGAAAAATGTGACGGAAAAGAGGGGAAATCGAACTGCTTCGAGCCGGAACAACAACAGCAACAGTTTCAACAAGAACAGCTCTCGCAAGCAGCCACAGAATATTCTCATTTGGAAACAATTAACATTGAGACGACCGCATCATGTTTATCTGATCAAATTAGCTTCGATACTGATGCTATCGTGTCAAATAACAATCAAACCATAGTGTCTGTAAATGAAAATAATCAGTTGGTTACGAATCTACATTTTCTTCTGACGAATGGACTTGTTACCATCCAAACTGAAGAATCATTATTGTCACAATCATCGGCATCAGGTAATAATTTGCACCATCATACGAGCACGATTCCCGATTCCGTATGTGCATCAACGACACTTGACGCTGATGCTGTAGTTGACATCAGCAGTACTGACACTACTAACGAATACACCAAGGAAGAAATTCACATTGAACATATGTTAAAAACGCAATCGAATAATTGCCTGCTAAAGGTAGCTGCTTCGACGATGCAGACGGAGGAACCTTTCTCCACGAGGATTTCTCCCCTGGACAAATCTTTATCGGTAGTAACAGGCAAACCAGCAGCGTCTAAAGGAAATTCATCAAAGAAGGAATGTGACATTTGTGGGAAAACGTTTACGAAACCCTACCAGGTAGAAAGGCATAAACGAATTCATACGGGTGAACGTCCATATAAATGTGATTTATGTACGAAATCGTTCGCTCAAAAATCAACTCTACAAATGCATCAAAAACACCATACTGGCGATCGGCCGTACGCTTGCCCGTACTGTGAATATTTCTTCACACAAAAAGGTAATCTTCGAACGCATGTGAAACGTGTTCATCAATTGGATACTACCGATATCAAGAAATGGAAATGCGTGCGTCAACCCTTTCTGACGAAGATGTCTCTTCAAGAAAACGTGATCGAAGCTAAGAGCCTGAGTTTAGACGACATATCGTTTGTTGAGTTCCTTAAATAATACTATCCAAAGGATACAAATATGGTTATATAGTCTTCGTTTCACCTTTCTGAGGTAAGTACAGAATACTGATCGAACATCGATAGAGACAATAATATTCGACATCCTTCCTATATGTAACATTGAGTAGTTAGCTGGTATGTATGTGTGTATGTGTCGTGAATAAAATAATCTGTCGCGTTCGATGTATAGTACTATATAACCCACATTCGCCGATTTGTATGAAAGAAAAAATAAATTTTTAACGCATAATATTGTTTTAATGCTGGAACATTTATTTATCATTGATCAATCCATTAATGTCGGTAATTACATTTTGTTTCAGTTGTTGGACAACCATTCGGATGATTTTCATAAAACCAGCAGGATTTAGTTTTCGCTCGTGACAACGATGATAACTTCTTTCTCTTCGATTTCTCATTAACCCTTTCCGTTCCGGGTATTTTAAATTCCACCTTTCCCTGTGCAACGCAAAATATGTGACTGTGATTTTTGAGCAAAGTTTGAAGACCTCCGCATTCTTTCCGTAAGCGTATCATCATTTCCTTTGGTACTGATTCGGCAATTTCACGCAATTCGAGGCATCTGCCGGCGTTCCAAAGCTTCACCTCTGTTCCTTCCAATGAAATAATACGACCTTCGTGCAGTAGCTGATTCGATACAATACCAACGATACTCGAAATTAACGTTTTCTCCAATTGCGTACAGTTCCGCACTTTTTCCACTTTATCCCTTGGCTTAAAGTCACAGATCCACCCCTTGATTGTATTATCACTATCAGCATCGATTGCCTCGACCGATTCATATTTTTGTCGAAACAAAGTTGTTTTCACACTTAGCATTCGTTGAATACGATCCTCTCGTTCTTTTATCTCTTCAGTAGCCCTTTCCCATCCAATCAAGCAAGTTCGTTTCGTTGAGGGGATTCTTAATTTGTCAACGTACGTTGTAAAACCACATTCAACGCAAATACTTTTCACGTAATCGATATATTCCGAGTACTGACTCTTGGAAGCGCAATATCTTTGATACTTGGTACCATTGAGCTCGTATGGGCAACAAGGTAACAAAAAGAAACGACAATCGTTAGAGCTACGCGCTGCAATCACCGGAATCCACGGTGTCAACTCATCCGAATGGTTTCCTATGATCCAATCTACTCCTGGATATACAGTTGTAGAGGAAGGAACGATAGTAGAAACCTATAAACAAAAGGATTGTATTGTATTGTAATTCGGTCGCACATAAGATACAACAAATATTGCATTAAAAGAACGAGAAATATTGGGGAAATTGCGTTTACACACGTACTTGTAACGGCGTTTTTGTCGGATATGAGTCCCAGATTTTTCTCTTTCGTAAATCAATACCTAACCCTTGGTGACCTTCGTTGAACAAAATATGCACGAGTAAACCGTTGCCACATCCCAAGTCGAGAAACGTTTGTAAATCATTGCTTTTCCTCTCAAATCTTTCTTTTTCCCATAGCAGAAGTAAATAAGTAGAGATTGCGATGTCTTCATAAACAAATTTCATCGGGTCTGTATTCTCAGGCCAATTGTTTATCAACTTTGTGCTATACTTCTCTTTTAATTCGTAATATAATTTTGCGTATTTTTCAGCTGAAATGAGACTTAAAGAAGACAACGATCTCGGTACAATCCTTGATTCGTTTTTCATCCATTTTAATAGAGATGGAAAAAGTTTTTTCTCCAACCATTCTATACTAGAATCGCGTATAATGTTCGATCGATACACGCAAAGAGATGTATATCCATCTATTTCTTGCTTTAACATATATGCCCGTTTAGGACCAAGGGACTGTTTCAGCATAAAAAAGGGTTTGTGAATGTTTATCACGCAACTTTCTTCAACTGCCAGTAAAAAAAATTCAATGCCAGCGGCAAATATATGTGGCACACGCGGTAATTGTTTGGTCGCATACAAGCGACTCTTTTTCTTGGATGTTATAGGAGTCACCTGATCGGAGATATGTAAGACGTCTAATAGCCTCGAGCTCTCGATACCGTTTTTTTGGTCATCATTGATTAAGAATGAAATGTCCAAAGTATTTATACGTTGAAAAATTTCAAAGATGTCATAACTAATTTCGATATTCAGTATTTCAACACATGCAAGAACTCTACGGTTTACAATTTGAGGGTTATGACACCAAATATCGATAGCATTGAAAAACTGTGATGCACAGACTTTATTTTCTGTTCGTATTATGGTATTGAAATCCATCTTTCAAAGAACGCAATCAAATGTCCTTCCTTTATTACAAAATAACTTACACAATGAATCTAGAATGCAAACACAACAGCTTTGTATGCTTATTTTGTTTGTACCTTTGTTCCTTCTGCTTTACTGTACTAAAGGTTACATGGAAAAGTGGATTATTAGAATATGCGAAAAAACGTATTTAATATACGTATCGATAAATTTGAAAAATACTATGTACTTTCTTGAGAAGCCATTCTGCATCTTGTACTGCCTTTTCCATAATTTGCTGAACACGGTTTTTGTCTGGTTCGATTAAATGCTGTTTAAAACTCTGCAAAATCAAGTGGAAAAAACGATGAAAATATAGGTTATACAAGATATTCACTAATGCTTGATATTGAAAAATGTTTAGTAGATTGAGATTCGCGGAGAATTAACCTGTTTAACTGAATGTTTGTAAAACAGCTGTGCATTTTTTGGTAACCTTTCACATTCCCGCAGCAAAAACTTGTATAGTTGTTTTGGCGATTTTAAAGCCGAATCCCGAAGCTTTGAACTAGCCATCTCTCTAATAAAAAGTTGAAAGAATACAGGGAATGTAGTGGTCACGTATAACTGTAAGTGTAAGAAACAGTAGACTGTAATATTACATAAAAATATGAACAATAAGCGAAAGTTAAACTTACGAATAGAAAGTTGTTTTCCTTTATTGAAGCTCGATTTTAGTTAATATATTCTCTCTAAACTAGACTTATGAAGAAAAGCTTACTTTTGAAACGTCAAAACACTTAATGGATTTTCGGCTTGATGAAGATTATAGAGGTAGCATTAAGAGAAAATATAGGTGTATAATTAGAACAATTGTGTAACTTTTTATAATGGTACACATTTAACACGTATCGAAAGGCAAATGTATGTATACTAATAAGTTTTATACATATATGTATATACACATTATATGAAAATGGTTTAGGGATGTTTAAGTTTGGAGGCGCTGCATGGCATTCGTTGTTAAAAACGATTGAGTTGTATAATCCTTAATGATAAGGTGAATACAGTATGATTAATTTACGGGAATGTATGATGAGGGTTTTGTTAAAGAATCGATGGCAAACAAGAGTGAATGGGATTTTGTTTCGTTCGAAAAGTAGCGGAGGACGCCCGACTGTCGGGATAATAGGTAATATGGACATACGTGTTCATCAATATTATATGTTTATGTTGACTCATTTATACTGACGTTGAATGGATTTATTTTCTTTAGTCATTGGGGATGAAATTCTAAAGGCACAAGTAAGGGACACAAATTCCACATATGCGTGCAAGCTGCTCCGTGAACACGGAATCAAAGTTGAAAAAGTGGGTTGAACAAATTCATCTGTGATGTTGTACTCTGCATGACAAGTTGTGTGTGATCTTTATTTGCTCAAAACAAGTCGTTTTTTCTTCAAATTTTCTTCTCATCTCTTCTTCTCTCTTCACTCTTCTCTTTTTTGTTTCTTTTCTATAGATTTCAATTGTACCAGACAATCTTGAAGTCATTGCAAATGAAATGAGAGACTTTTCTAAGAGATTCAATTACATTTTTACATCCGGTGGTATAGGACCAACGCATGATGATATTACATACGAAGGTAATTGTTTTAAAGTTCACATCAATGTGTAATTTAATCTTAATAAAATTGTATCTTGTAGCTGCAGCATTGGCTTTTAATGATACGTTGTATTATCACCCAACCTTAGTGGATATCATACAGAATTGTTTCAATTGTGGAAGTTTTCCATCACCAGCTTATAAAATGGCACATGTAAGTGGCACATATATGAACAACTGGACAATAATAAAAATTAGTTTACTTCTTAATCGTAGATACCAACTAAATGTGTGCTTAAATTTGGGATTAATGAGACTACAGGTCAAGCACTTGTTTATCCATGTGTGGTAATAGCAAATGTTTACATTTTTCCTGGATCACCTATGTTCTTTGAAAACTTGTTTCTGGCTGTGTGCAAGGTATAGTATGCAAAAGTTGTTTGGATTGTAAGATGGTTGAAGGGAAGGATTTTGCTTTTTACAGGAATGTTTTGTTGGTTACAAACGTTTTGCAACACGCGAAATTTACATAAACGCAAGGGAAGAATCGTTTGCTGATATTCTAAGTGCAGTTGCGCAGGAATGTCCAAACGTTTCGTTTGGTTCGTATCCAGAACGTAATAGGTAAGGAAATAGGTATTGCATTAATGAAAACAGTGTGAAATAGTTGAAATAGTTGCAGGTATTACAAAGCACGTGTAACCATCGAAAGCGAGAATGAAAAGGACACGGCAACAGCTAAGAGAATGTTTTGCGAACGTATTCCGAAAAATGTACTGGTAGATTACGATTGTAGACCATACGTCGATTGTCTGAGAAAGTACGAAACTTTGATTAAAACGTCTGAGCGTCGATCCGTTTATGAGAGTTGCTTCAAGAAATTCGTGTAATGCCCCTTCAACTGGAAAAAAGTATCGATTACTTGGGTTAATTATAAGGCTATGTCGAAGTTTTCTTTGTTTTCTTTCTGTTGTTTCTTGCTTGTAGAAATTACTACGAGAAACCTGAAGAAGTATGGATATATTTGGACGGCAGCGAAGAGTCAGTGGTCATGATACATTTTGCTCGTATCGCAAATGATAAACTGTGGCAAGGTATTAAGGGGAGGAAATTACATGCAATTTGCTTAAATTCAGATACTTTAAAGTCGGCTGTAAATAAATTTGTCCATGAAGTTTGCGATAGGTGGGTAGGACAGACATTCGTTAAAACATTCGAACACGAGGTTTGAATTACAAAGTACACACTTTGCGAATATATGAACGATCGATCTTTGTAGATACGACGTCGAGTTAGAGAGGTTAAAGTACGAGAAAACCGACCTCGCATCGTCGCTTAAAAATGTAATGGTATGGAAGCCGGAATTACGAATATTGCTGGTTGGAGAACGGTTGAAGGGCAATGAGAGAAAAATTTACGATAACGTTAGACTATTAAACGATAACTCTTCGATGGCTATGGAAGTACATTTTCCTCTTACCGATTGGACGGACGAAGATGTTAGGAGTTTCTTCAATTCTTTCTCTTTACCTTATTATACGATAGAAAGTTAATGAAACCGGTAAGAAAAAAAAAGTCTGTTTATTGCTGTTTTTGTGTAGACCGGCCGGCCGGCTACCCGCTCGTTCACTACTCCTTGTCCCGTTCTCTCGCTTTCCTCTGTTTCCTACGTATAGCTATATAGATTTGTATGTACGTGTACGTATATAAAACTGTTTTTCCATAATGCGAGCAGATTGTATTTTCATACATAAGGGACGAAAAGAGTAAGAAAGTAAAAATGACGGGTGAAATTTGGATCGAGATGATGGTATCTGGTGTTTTGGATTCAATAACGACGGACTATTAATCAATGATATTTATTCGCAGAAGAAGCAAGTAAAGATGAGTTGGAATAAAAATGATTGAGAATGATTTTAAAGTGAGGAAATAGTGTGATTAGTTGTTGCATTTTTCCCATCTCCTCTTAAATTCCTAATTATCGTGGAAATAAGAAGACATTTCTTGGTTGAACATGGTTGGGAATGATTGGGGAGTTGATGATTAGTGTACTGTCAGAGAAAGAGAAGGTGAAGTAGAAGCGTGGAAAATTTGTATTAATGCACTTAACGAAAAGTTAGTTAGGTGATTAGATGGTTTTAGAATGGGCTTGCAAGTTCACAGAAGAATCGTGAGGAGTGGTTAGGTGGGTGGTTGGTTGAGCCTGAAGGAAGACTGTCCGTGCTCGTATTACAGATTTTTCACCGGCAGTACAGGCATAACAGAAGGAAGAGATAAAGAGGGTTGCACATGATTGGAGAGGGAGTGGAATTGTGGAGGAGAAGCGTTGTCAACTCCCCTCCATACTTTTGAAATTTCATTTCGAGTTAAAGTATTTCTAGGTTTTTTCCTTTGAAAGTTTAAAATGAGAGTGGGTGGTAGTTGGTCGTCGGGGTGGTGGAAAGCTGGAGTAGAGAGGGCGATAAGAAGGGGAATAAATCGCTACTAGCTGAGCTACGCCCATGATTCTGCAGTTTACGGGACGAGTATTATGCGCCACTCTCTTCCATCGAGTCAACTATGCACGAAATCACCAAACACTGCGAGTTCCTTTTTAGATTTTCGAACCTACCCGAAGCATAAGTGGTAAAAATGAAATTGAAACGCAGCTAGATATATTTTAGACTGTTCGTTATTCGTCCGGTCTGTAGTATCATGACAACCTTTTCTTCTATCGATTCTGAAACGATTAAAGACAGGTTACCATATTTCAAGCTCCACAAGCAAGAATAGCAACAACACCCAATATATCGAAATTTTGTTCATTTTCATTTTCTTCTCTTAGTTTTGAGTACGTAATCGTTCTCGTAAGAAAATGTTAGATTAGAAAAAGTAAGAAGCAACAACAGTTGCAATCGGAATAAAAGTGAAGAGACTGAGCGAGGTAATGCACGAGTGAAACGAAACAGAAAAAGAAATTGAGGAGGTGGAGTGGGGCGGGGCGGGGCGTGGTGGGATGTTGTGGGGCTGAGGGGCAGAAACGAGTCTCATATTTCACCGGAGTATTTCATTTGAGTTTGAAATTGATTGCGCGATAGTAGAATGGAAAGAAGTCGATGATACAAGGTTGGCGGAAGATAGAAAACAAGCTGTCCAACTGGTTGACTAACTGGTTATCTAACTGATTGGTTGGTTATATAGCTCATTCATCGACCGACTAACTGACAACACGAAGCGATTGATTTACCGACGAGACTGATCGTAAAAGGTTGTCCGACTGATTAGTTGGTTAGTGGAAACGAGTCGCGGGTACAAGGAATATATGAATGTACTGAAATGAATGAGAGAAAGAAAGCAAAACGAATAGAAAAATTGTAAAAAGTATGTTCAAATGGAGGTAAAATGTGGAAATGAACGAGTGATCGTTAAAATATGGGAAAAGAGAAATTTTGAAAGCAAGATTGAAACCGTGCGTGTTTGGGTTTGTAGTACGGTAACAGGTAGGATAGTTATTTGTTACATAGGAACGGGTATACATACACGATGAGATAAGCGATAATGTTAAACTGGAACGCGAATAAGTTTGCAATAAGAAAATGGTGTAGAAGGGAAACTAGTAGCGTGTTTGAAGATTGAAAATGATAAGGAGGAGAAGATGGGGGGAGTAAGGGTAAGAATGTGAATGGTGGCTTGGTCCTTGCGTAATCGTAGATGAGAAGGAGGATGGTAAGACGGTAACGGTAGCGGTAGAGGTGGCGTGTGGTCGATGGCAGTGGTCGCGTGCTGGTCGCGTGCCGGAGGCGGAGCCAAGCTTCGACTCTCTCGCGTGCCACCTCCACCCTAAAGTTCGCGGTCCCTGTTGCACCCTCCGACACCCTCCCGGAACAGCGGGGAGCTCCTCTACTCGACGCGACGCCCCTCGGTACTCTTTGGTTCCTCGTATCTTCCCTTCTCTCCACCGGTTCCCGAATCTACAGTCGCTTCCTCGTCAGTTATTGATTCCCTCGGGTAGCTAGTTCCGAAAAGGGTGCTAGAATAGAATAAGCACGATCGAAGGGACGAAAGCAAGAAAGTACAGAGGAAAGACTCTAGGATAGATGTGACGTACAAACGTTAACTTGTCTCTCCTTGCTTCTTGTTCGTATCAGCTACGAGAATGGATGGGCTTTTGAAATGTTGCATATCACGAATTCCGTTAATGGGATTAAAAAAGAGAAAGGATAGAAAAAGGGACACGTCGGTTTGTCCGAGGTTCGTTCGCGGATAATCGATAATCGTTTGATCGAGTGCGCGTAGCAAAAGATCAGCTGTATCGATGGTAATCGTTGAGTTGCCTGCTTTTCTTATCGGTGCAAATTGATCCAGAAACGTTGTTTCGTATCGATACTAAGGAAGAGTGCGATTGAAAAAAGTAGGACGATACGAACGGAAATGATAATGGAAGGATCGATTATTATTTGTAGCATAGGGTTACCGTTACACGGTAGCGAACAAAACTCGTGTTCCTTTCACGTGGTAGTGAATTGAAAAACGCACCGATGAAGCAAAATCGTGGCAGCTTGGAAGATGATCGAGAGGAAGAGAGAACGCGGGACACAATTAACGAAGCTTCTGGAGACGTCGATTTATTAAATTTCCTTGATTTATCCACGACATTATCTATCCTTCGAAGTTCTTGTTTGCACAAACTTGTCGTATTGAGAGCAGCGCTCTTGAATCTCGAAACTTTGTGAACTCTCCGTCTCTTCCTCTGCTTCCGCCTCCGTCCTACCGTTCCTCGCCCCTTTCGCCATCTCCCCGTACTCCCAGCTCCACCCCCTGTTCCACACTCCCTGCCCCCCACGATGTACCCCTGCACCCTGCCTACCTCATCGCTCCGCCACTGTGCTGTACAACCCTGCTTTCTTCTTCGTGTAAACTTGCACATCGATGTATAGACGTAGCATATATGTACATATACGCACAATTCACGCATTCGCTCGCGTGTACACATACTACTTACACGTGCACGTAGTTGCGTCCATCCACAGGGAACTTGTTCGATCTTGTTGGTTGGTCCGTCCACCGTCCTTTTCCATTCGGTTCTCGTCGTTTTTGTTCCACACCACCACCTCGTCTCGTTCGTTGCTGTCCGGAGTTGTAGTACCGTATGATTCAACGGCATAACCTATTTTACTTTCGAAAACTCAACGGATCAATACCAACGGGAATGCGACGAAGATGAGCGAGCGGATGGAGAGAATTGCGCAAGAGGAGGAAGAACGAATGCGAACAAGATGGCATGCCCAGTTTCTTGGGTAATTCGTCCGATTGCGCAGCGTTTTTCTAAGAGGCGGTCGAGCGATTATTTTGCATGGAAGCGTACACGGTCGAAGGGATGGGTAGCCGGGCGAGAGCCGATCGAGCGGAATTGATAAAGATCGAGTAGCAGCAAGCATCGCGACGACGAACGGCGCGATGCAGGTAGCAGGGAGAAGTAACCGAGTTGCGCCACCGGCTGGTACCATACGTGAAATATACAAATACTAGCAACCAAATCTTCGAAAAGAGTTTCGGATTGCTGCGGCACGAGACCGTCAGCTGGTGAGCAGAGCCCTTTCGCCTTTCTTTGTCTTTCTCTTTCTCATTCCCCTTTTCTCTCCCTCTCTCTGTTTTCCTGTCTCCTTTTTTTAGTCGTACAGGTTCTCAGGTTTTCTCCACGCCTCATCTTTCTGTCTTTTCGTTCCTTCGTCTTCTCGCCGCACCGGCTAACTTATATGTCTTTCAGAAAGGTACACTTCGATACATCCGCCCCTCATTTTCTTCAATTTCCCTGTATGTAGCTTGTATGCTCAAACTATACACTCACAAAAACACGAAATGGTTGCGCTGAACGCACGGTCAATCCGTTGTAACAGTGCGCGCGTGAAACATTTGAAGCATTTGAAGTACTATTCGATCGTCACCCCTGAAACGGATCAAATCCGATTGAAGTTGTAGGAATATAAGAAGGTGTAACGTGGAAAATTATCCTGTGACTGTCCGGTTTGAAGAGATATTCCGCGACGAGACTCACGGGAGATTTGAAAGTGCTCATGGGAATACATATCGCCTGGACGGATATCGCGATATATCGCGCGTTAATCGCGCTAATCTTTTTGCGCCAGATCGCTCGACCGATAAAAGCTTTGTAGAGCATCGATATTGCTCGGTAACGATGCAAATTTTCTTTTACGAGATTAGACGATGCTCGATTTAACCGTACAGTTCGTTTCATCGAACGCTTCGATGGAGCGCGCCAGCGTCCTGCGCTCGCGGCGAGCGTACTAGTTTACTTGATCGCGTGGTCAGCGAGTGTCGAGACTAACTGAGACACTTTTTCGCGTTACTTTCCAGACATATTCTTCTTTTTTTGCAACTTTCGACTCTCTCTCTCTCTCTCTCTCTTCACGGTCACTTTGGCGGTGAATATTCGATGAACGGATATGTAAAAATGAAGACGGGGAACTATCACTCCAACTGCTGGAAAGATACAGTTCGGAAAACTTCTTGTACAGACGAAAACACTGGCAGTTTGACCTCGTGTTCGCACACGTTGTTACGCAAGGTGAATCACAAGGCACATTGAAGAAGGAAGGAATGACGGAGAGGATTTCGGTCTCGTTTAACGAAGCAAAAAAGAATAGTAGTAGTAGTCGGCATGCTGAAGCATGTTTATAGGATCCGATCGTTTATTTTAGCGATGGATCTGCGCGTTTGGCCTCCTGTTATTCCGTCCCGAAACGGACCAAGAAGTCAAAA